CACTGTTTTGAGAATACAAACAGATTTTTACATGACATGATTAAATATTGAGGTAAAAAAACACAGAAATGGGATCAATCATTATACAAATAAGGCCTAGCGACACCAAGCGATTTTGACAGAATCGTCTATGAAAACAAGTTGTAACTCGGAAACTAGGCAAAGCAGGAGACAAAATTAAATGACAGTAGATTGTGAGAACATATATCTTTCATTTTCCACAACAGTTGTCACGATTTCAGGTTTACACAAACCTGTAAACAAGATAATTTACCCCCTGAAATGTAGATGAATTCTGCATCGGCCCTCATATCTATTCATCATATGACGTCACAGAGACGCCCCGCTCTGATTGGTTGAAATTTCGTTCGCTGATGAGAACTGTGCACTGTTGTCAAAAAGGTCGATTTAAGTTAATTAAAGATCGAAGTGAGTAGTTTTAATGACGGGGTTTCATTTATAGCGATGCCAGTTAGTGATTTATGTATTTGTGACCCCCTAGAGTATATGTGATCTTTAAAGGGTAAACTTAATAATCCTTTGAATGTTGTTATCATGATAACAAAATCTCTCCTTTACAAATTTAATAGAAAAATGACTAAACCAAGCTTTTAAGCCTTTCAAAAAGATATAGTGAGATATTACGAAACCTCAAAGTTTATTCCATATTCAAATTGTAACTTTGCAAACTTCCATGCCTTCTGGTCTTCTTTCCATTTACTGTTTAGAAATCCTCTACACTGATTCCTGAAAATTGAATACATTATACATATGTGTATGTGTGTTTGTGCGTGCGTATGTGTGTGTGCGTGCGTGCATGCTTATGTATGTGTTGCTAATACATTTACAACAATAGCCATACATTTTGATGCACACTTATCCTGTGAATGTTCAGAAAGGATGGAAAAATATAACTTCAAAGATGGAAATAAGGCCAGACCATTTGTATTTATTCTTTTACGGATCCGCCGGTCGTATCTTACAAGTATAAGAAAAAACATAATAATTAAGTTTCCCCCGCTCATAAAATAAAATCCTAATGCTTTTATTGGCCAAAAATGTAAACTTACCAAAAAAACCTTTTTATCCCCTGACGCGTGTTTAGCGCGAAGCGGAGGATACAGGTTTTTTATAGCTCTTTAAAACTGGGAGTCCTGGGGACCCACGACATAATTTTTGGGGAGTCCTTTTCCAAAATTGGGAGTCCATCAATCTCAGATCTGCATGATATCAATGACTATGCCGATGCTTCCCATATGATAATGATTATGTTATAATATAGTTACTTTCAATGTCATTAGAATAATGTTTATATCTGAATAACACTGACAATAAACATACAGTACCGAAATGTGATGTGGTGTTATCTCGTATTGCTATGTAATATTGATTTAAATATGACTGACTGACTGAGTATGGTTTTACGCCGCTTTTAGCAATATTCCAGCAACATCACGGCGGGGGACACCAGAAATGGGCTTCACACATTTGTACCCATGTGGGGATTAGAACCCGGGTCTTCAGCGTGATGAGCCAACGCTTTAACCACTTGGCTACTCCACCGCCCCGATTTAAATATGAATGACATTGAACTATTACATAACAAGACAAGAGAAACTGACTGTGACAATACTTAACCCATTCAACACCGTAGGCCGGAAAAACAGCCAAGACGTCATGAGTCCCCAGACACTGCAGGCCAGTAAACCGGCCAGCCAGTAGTCGCATCAAAATGATATATAATTTTAGGAACCTAACTAACATATGATTCTATCACTTTTCACAATGTCTGAAAATACTTATTAAATTTCAAATGACCACATTATCGACAGGATTAGAATTATAAACTATTTTTCGCAATGTTATTGCAAAAAACAATTCTCGGACACATGCTTCGGCAACGGGTACACATCAAAGTTGTCAAAGAGCAAAGTAACGGTGTTTCGAGAAAATAATCATACAAACTGAATAAACTGATGAATAAAATCAACAACAGTACTCATAAAAGTTGTCAAGCGTATATGATAACTTACTATTTCCATCTATTTTGAGCGATCGTGTAATGTAATTCAAGTGACATCGTGGCTTTCTTCGCCTCGAACTTGACGCTCGGACAGGATTGTTTAATGCTAAAACATATGCATGAAGCATTTTTTGTCACAGGTCATAACCTAGCTCGATATGTCCACTAAGTTTCATAATATATGTAAAGGTGGTGATTGTTTGCGTAACACGTTCTGAATAGCGGGATTTTACCCAAAACTTTCATCTGAACCTAAAAGTTTTCGTTTGCGAGCGCGGTATCCATTGCTGTAATATGATTGGCTGCCTTAGGTCACATGCACAATTGTGACCAATCACGATTCTTATAGCAAACCGTGGGAAATAGAAACCAACCTTTATCCAATAAAATTGCTTCTTACAACTGCGAAAATACTCGTGGCAAGGGTATAATAATATTGTTGATGTTCAGAGCTCTCTATCGATACCCGCCATCAAACGAATCGCCTTACATGTTTTTCATACAGAGCTTCTAAAACTGAGGTATTTCCCGCTGTTGCATCACATTAGCGAGCGGAAAGCCACTATATCGGGAAATAGACGACCATACATATTATTTAAGAAATCTTTTTTTAAAATAATTTTCAAATATTGCGTCCATAAGGACGCACTGGATTTTCGTTTGGGGGTCCTTCATCACATTTCTGCGTCCAATACACAGGAATCCCGCGTCCCGTAAAACCCAGGGATATAGTATTAGGCTCTGTCCGTCCGTCCGAATTGGAATATCTTCAGAACCGTTGACTGGATTCTTTTCATATTTGGTACCTAGGTTCATCGCAGTAAAAGAAAGGTCCCAGTCACGTTTGGTGACCTTGACCTTCATTTCAAGGTCACAAGGGGACTAAGGTTTTACCCTTGTCAGCGAGATATCTCAAGAACCGTTCACTGGATTTTCTTCATATTCAACACAAAGCTTTATCTAGGGAGGACGCAGGGCCCAGTCGATTTGGGTGACCTTCACCTAATTTTCAAGGTCATGGCGACACTCTGAAGATTTCAGCATCTTAACCTGCATGTAAAGATTGTCAACGAGATATCTCAAGAACCATTCACTGGACCTTCTTCATATTTGACAGAAAGCTTCATCTGGGGAAGGTGCAAGGCCCAGTCCATTTTGGTGACCTTCACATACTTTTCAAGGTCACGGTGACACTTTGAAGATTTCAGCATCTTAAACTGCATGCTAAGATTGTCAGTGAGATATCTCAAGAACAGTTCACTGGATTTTCTTCATAGACTTTCAAGACTTCCCTTCAATTTTTCAATAAGCAATTTCTCTATTACTATTTTGGCATATTTCATACACTAAGACATTCATGTCAAGGTCAAAGTGAGTCATGAAAATATTTGTGCGTTTCAACAACTACAGAGCAAGATATCAAGAGAGGTTGACTGGTCATGGTTTTGTTTACATTTAACTTCATCTTAAATTACGACCTTCACTTTCATTACTTTTTAAGTTGGATTTGATAATTTGCGGCGGGGATTATGTCACCTTAGTGACAATGCTTGTTTTTTTATTTTTTTTTGCTCCATATATACTTCATAAATTGCCAGAAGTAAAATACTTTTAATATTTAGAAGGAATATATTACTTTGACTGGTGGTTATTATTTATTTTTTTTCCCTTCTGCCTTTAGGTTTTCTGAGGACAAAAATCTGTAAAACAAGAAATAAAATTGGTCTGGCCTAATTAAAAAAAAATAATCATGTAAACCTGTGAGAGCTGTACTTCATGTACACTATCGTGGCTGCAAGAATAAATCAGCTTCATGTGTCCTGGACCCATAAACTATATTCCACAAACTATGTCATTATCAAAAACAGGACTTCTTGTTCTGCACATTGGCATTTATAATGCCCACGCCCATGTTATGCTGTGAGACTGAGAGTGCCATCATTAAACAGTTTGATGGGGTGCAAAATAGGTTTTAAATCATTTGAGTTGCTCAGATTAATTGCATTTTCCCTAAATGAATTATAGTGAGTATTTTTTAATTTTTTTATTCCTGATGTAGGGCACATTGAAAGTATTTCATTGATGCCATTTCAGTTTTTCCCGTGCCATGTCATGCAGATTAAGCACTGATCCCTGAATGGTAATTAAACAATAAGCCATTGTGAAAAGGAGCTTGAGTAAAATAATGCAACAGGTAGACCCACAAAGGTGCAAGAGGTACTATTGAAAAACAAGCTATGAATGACCAGTCAGTAACACCCAAGCATGACTAAAACACAATAATAAATGATGCTAACTAAATTGAAAGCAGTTTTATGCAGTTGTCAATGGTTGTACACGGCAAAGGCTGATAGTAATAGCAACAGATATATGAAAAGCAGTAGTTATGAAAATATCTATGCTTTACCTCCATCCCAAATGTTTATGTTGCAAGCAGAAAATCAAGAGCAAATAACTATGTTGGTTACTACTACTGAAGTATGGGATATTGAAGATAAGAAGCAAGATGTCTTTGGCATACAGGGGCCTCGTTTGTTGTTGTGTGGTAAATTTGCTAGTTCTTTTACTTTGTCTGTTTTTTGTGCAAAATCTGCAGAAGCTCTTCACATTATTTGCAAAGTTTAGCGAAACTTAATTATCCCTTTCTTGGAACTTGCTTGTTTTATGGTCTCAAGGCATTGGCAAGATACATGCCTTTACCTTTAAACATGGCCTAGAATATTTGTGGATATTTATGCTTTAATTATATTCATGCTACTATTCCATTCTTCCTTGAATCTAAAAACTGGAACATTGCAAGATCAATTGAACAGGGACAAATAAACACTTAAATATAGATTATCCATTGACAAATAATTGTCTATATTACCAGCCTCTTTTTTCTATTGTTTGCATTGCCAGTCTTTTTGCAGATTTGAACTTGATGTGAAATACTCTATTTTATGTGGCTGCTAATGATTTTCCTGTTTTCTTTCAGTACAATATGTTACATCAGGATGTAGAGATGTGGGAACCGTAAGCCATTTCAGTCATGGCTACAAGAGAGACTGCATTCTGTATGTATACATACATGTATTTTGTTTATTATGGCGGAGAAAGTATTCACTGTGTTGGAATGAAATTTGGTACATACATTTCTTAGGGTCTGGCATTGAAGTGCTTTTGAGTTACTGAAGTCAAGGTCATTGGATTGGTAATTCAGTAGGTAGAAATTATCAAGTCTACATAAAGATAAAGATCAGGTTAGTACCTTGTGTGCAGGGCTAACTGCAGGGCTACAACAACTTTAGACTAAGGAGGCTCTGTGAAAGCCAGCACTGGTAGTTTATCTGCATTTTGGGGGGAGAGAGAGAGAGACCTGTTGGCATCCATATTATATTATCACCAATCTGCATATAATTGTATTTCACTGGAAACGTATTGTGGAATATAACGATTCTGTCAACGTTTTGAGAATATGGTGAGCTGGCTTATTCTGTTTCTTCTTCTTCTTGCAAACATCTTTTCTAGTGATTCTGTTTCTTCAAGTACTTGCAGACATCTTTTCTAGTTATTGAAAGTGATTGCTATTATACGATGCCATGTGGACCTGTGATGTTGTTTGGTAACTGAGATGGCTCTGGAGAGGTTGTACAACTTCAGCTCTTGTTCCGTCTCACACATTGAAGAACTTGAAGCACCCATGGTGTCTGCTTAGGAAAGTGATTCATTTTGAGATATGTCGTTATTCACCCAGCAGTAAATGGATACCTTGTAGGATGAGAAGGTAATGTGCCTGTTAACATTCTAGTGCCTCAAAGGCTGCTTGGGCTGTTTTTTCTCAAATGAGCTGAACAAATAGAGGGCACTCTGATTCATTGACCTGAGTAATGAGAGTGTCAGTGCTTTGAGTATGGTTTTAAAGGATGAACTTTAGTGCAATACAAATGTCTTTTATCATCCCCCGCTGCAACGGATGATAACCCAGACACCTTGACCTTATTTTCAAGGTCACCACAACACTTTGACCACTTTTCAAACTGTTGTTAAGGTGATATCTCATGCACTGTTGTACCCAGTGTCCTCAAATTTGGTGACAGCCTACAATGGGGGATTACACAGACACCAGTTGATCTGGGTGACCTTTACCTTATCTTCAAGGTCGCCATGACACTTTGACCACTTTTCAAGCTTATTTAAAAGCAATATCTCATAAAACATTGCACCCAATGTTTTCAGTTATCGACAGCCTACATTGGGTGATTATGCAGACACCAGTCATTTCAGGCATCTTGTATGTGACCCAAAAATAAAAAGTAGTAAATATAGATATTCCTTTCTTTAGCGGCGGGGGACATTGTCATATCAATGGCAAACACTTGTTGTTTTTATGTACAAAAGAAATATTATGGTTTATCTAAGAGACGGCAGGGGAACTAATTACTGAATGAATATTAACTGATCAAATGTCCAAAAATAATTATATACATCTTTTTCTTCAGCTCTTGAGATTACAGTCTCTGCTGTTCTTACTCATGAGGATGGTACAACAGAGGATGTTGATGACATCAAGACTCTACAAAAACAGTTCAAAGACTATCAAGTTGTGCAGAAGTTCCTTTGCAAGGAAACCTACTTCCATCTGCAAGGAGTACGTACATCTAAAGATGAACTTCTGCTCAAGTGTTATGTTTTATCGGACAGTGAACTCACTGATCTGGAAGAAGCTATTGCAAGTGATCACTTGGGACAGGAACTGACTAAGTATGTTATTTCTGTTGGACTTGAATCTGAACTAGGTTTACCACATGACAGTGGTAATACACTCAGTTTGGAGTTGGAGTTGAGAAAGCAGTATATTCGACAAGGAAGGGCATATTTTAAGAAGATTTCCCAGTGAGTTGATTTTGTGTCTGCTTTCTGTCTCTGTGAATGTACTTATAAATATGAAAAGCCTACAATTACTGGTAATGTTTGAGCATAATTTTGTTTGAAACCAAACAACAAAAAGAGAGAATCTTTCGATGCATTTCTGCTTTACTAATTTAATATTACTACATTCACTGGATTTTCTGGTCCAGACTCAATTAGTTACACATCGCCTCCATATGCATGATATAGCTGTATATATCTGGGTGTGGTGTAAAACTAAACTCACTCACTCACTTATTGTTAGTGAAGCAGCATGCATTGTAACTATCTGGGAAACCATAGTCTCAAATAATGCTTGTGAATATAAGGAAGTCCTACCTTGATTTTATTAAATATTATGATGAATTATCTTTGAGGTACATTTACTATGATTTAGTGGGATATTTCCAGGACCCTGTAATAATGTTTCTTTGAGCTTATGACGTGCCCTGTGTTGTTTGATGAGCAACATGCATTATACATATTTTCAAAGAAATCTCTTCGTTTAATGAATCAAATACTTGGCATGCTTGTTCCCACCAAAAATGACACCCTAGTTTATTGAAGAGCATGGAATACCTATTAGAAAGGATATTCAGGGTCATTAATTACTACCTACCTACCTACCTACAGGGTACCTACCATCCTACCTACCTATCGTCCTACCTACCTACCATCCTACTATCCATCAAACAACATCAGTACTGGCTGACTGTAAAATAGGTGGGGGATCTCTTAGAACAGAAGATTTTTCAACAGGAATATCCACTAAATTTCTAGATGTAACCACAACACTATCCTTAGGCTTTCCAGCTTATAGTAACAGTTACAAACCCATTCATCAGATTTGGCCATCTTGCCTGACATCAATTTGTGTTTGTTCATTCAATTGAGACAGGAATTGACTAATTCCTAACACAAAGTTTGGTTGAATCAACTACTGTTTCATCTTGTTTGAATATCACCAAAACTGAGTGAGTGAGTGAGTGCGTGCAAGACATTTATATATTATTATGTTAGAGAAATCTTACGCAGTCTGGGGATTGTTGTCTCAACATGTTCAAACACTACAAATGGTTATCAATCAGAGATTAACTCACCTATGATGTTTTTAACTTCACTACTGTTACACAGTTCCTTATAGTTGAGCCTTGGACATTATCAGCTCTTGTATTTCATCAAGGAAGGAAACAAGACAACGCTTTTGATGAAATAATCAGATACTCCACATGGACCTATGCCTGTTAGACTATGGTATTTGGATTTTATAAACATGAGTCACTAGGGTATTGGATGTCAGTGATTTGTCTGCTTGCACTAAGTATAAATGTACTGTGTTAACAGGATGCCATGGTTCCATGGTGAATTGAGAACCAAAGCATAGGCAATCAATTTTTACTCATCTTATTGAATTCAAGTTGACATTTTCTGTTGTTAGCATTTGTCACATCTTTTCTTCAGAAAATGAAATTTCCCATGATTGGTTAAACCTGAATTTGTTTCAGTTCTGATTCTCAATATTGGTGTTACTACAGCCACATCAAAAAACTATTTTTGGCCATCACTCAACAATCTTTTTTAAAAAAGCATTGGTGGTGAAGTTATGCTAATACTAATGTGAGTTGCATTTTAACTGCTTTGTTGCTATGATTGTTTTATATTGATAACATATCAAGATTCAGTAGAGCTCCAGAACCTTATGACAGTGTCTTTACATGCAAGCAACATACAAAATTTCCGTTGAATAAGTTGTGCTTGAGAAGTTAATAGGTAAGTTCTTTCTTTTTTCAGTCCTTCAAAAAAGGATGGAAAGACTTCATCATCAAAGGAAAAGGGAGGAAAAAGTGATGATCGTGACCAACCATTGGGCGATGCTGCACCACCAATGTAATTAACGTCATACACTAAGTTGACTTGATATATATTGCCTTTGTTCACAGAACAAGATGTATTTGTCTGTCATGAATTATTCTGTAAACATCTTCTCTCCTAGGTCTTTCTGATTTTGAGAAGTCAAATTTGTTTGTCATTTTTGGTGTCATTCGTGTTTGTGACTTCTCAAGAAATACTTGACCGAAAAGTGAACCCTTGTATTCTTGTTCACACTCTCGCGATGCTGCCTTATCAGATGTTTGATTATAACTGTCCAGAACTGCTGCACTTCAATTTTCTCAACGCTACACTTTGACCATTGCCAGAAACTTCAAACTTCTCATACACGTGAAGATCTGGGTTAGAATTGGTCTTCAGCAACCCATGCTTGTCATTGGAGGCGACTTACAGATGGTCAGTCTTGCTAACTTGGCTGACACATGTCACCATATCCCAAATGCATAGATCGATTTTCATGATGTCGATCACTGGATTGTCTGGTCCAGACTCAATTATTGACAGACAGTCGCCATAATGCTGGAATATTGCTTACTGAGCCATAACCAACAAGCAAAACAAAAATCATACTTCTGATATACCTTTTGGGACATGATTGTCAAGGTCATTTGTTATGAACAAGGGGTCTAATCTTTTGTGTGCGAAAATAATTTGATTAACTACATCTGCAATGAAATGAAACTGAGTATAAATGAATGCAAGGGTGGAGCTTTGAATGACTCAACTCGAGAGTGACCTCTATGGAAGGACAAGGTCACTTGGAGTCAAATTTTGGAGAATAGCTTCAACATATTTCAGGTTAAGTTATTAAAAAACAAATCATATTCCTTATCAGTTATGATAGACAACTAACCAGTTGTAGTATGTCAATATTGTGTCAAGTGGTCATTCTTTAAATGACTTGCAATTAGAAAATTGTTGTCAGTATTGTTTGGAGGTGTTTATATTTTTTACACCATCTTAGTTTGCTACTAGTAATGTTCTTGCACGTAACTATTATAGATAAAATATAAAGGTCACTCACTTTTTATTGTGCATACATACCTTTGTGCACAAGATATCTTGAGTATTTAGGACTGGAATTTGATGAAACCATGTGCTGTGTATTTGTGGTGGTATCTCTTAATTTCCCAGTGCAAGGTGAAGGTGAACAATGTTATTTAGACTCACAAACAAGTCAGTGGTTGCATAATGAGAAAACACAAATTGACTTTCACTTTCATGATCTGGTAAGCATTGCTCTGATTGGTCAGATAAAAGATTGTACTGATGTGAACCATTGTGGGAAGTCCTCAGATCTTTGTTTAGTGTGAACCGACACTGTGACCATATTTTAATGAGACCACTTCAAAAACTTGATATTTTACGAGTGCATCATTAATTTAGCTGTCACTACCAATAATCCTCAGCCACATAGTAATACTAATAGTCAATAAGAAATCACTTGAATTAGTTTCTGACAGGAGAGTTTATAGATTTTGAAGACCTTGGTTGAAAGTATTTCCTGCACATAGTGAATTTTGGTGTGGATGTCTCTGGAATGGGATTGCGTTTGCATGTAGTTAAAACACATATGTAATTCTAATTTCAATTTCTACTTGCTTTACTTGCTGAAGAAATTTGACCAAGTCAAATATCATGATCCTTAATAACAGGGTGTGTTTTCAATTTTACTAGATCTAAACAAGAAGGAAAAAATCCTATTTCAAAGAAGAAGGGAGGGAAAGGGACTAAACAAAATGCATCCAAGAGTGGAACTGTACCTTCGGTGGGTGACGAAAATGCAAAGGAAAGGAAGGATACAAATGATAGCAATAGGGCAGGTGAAGGAAAGTGTTCACCAGCAGATGTAGATTCTACTACACCAGATGATGGTGGGAGTGAGACAGTTGCTACAACAGAAACAGTCACCTCTGTATCTGACAAGACCAGTACAGAAGCAACAGGGCCAGATCTTGAGTCACAGCATGGTTCAGGTGATAGAGAAAATCAAAATACATCAACAGCAAAAAACCTTGCAAGGTCCGATGAGACAGGGAAAAGGAAAGATCAGTCTCAGTCTGAAGTTAGCCACGATGAACACTTGTCTGGGAGCAATATGAAGAGAAAAAAGGTTGAGGATGGAAGTACAGTTTTAAAGCCTGAAGATACTGGCCAAAGAGCAACTCCTGAGTCAATCACAAAAGGTGTCGAAGAACCAGTGGTATGTTATATTTTCTTTCTCATTTTTACCATCCACCTACCAATATTTTGAATATTTTGAGGTTTGGTTATTCACAGTAACATTTAACAAATATTTGTGTTTTCTTTCAAAAACAATTTGTATACAGGTGTACATGTACATCTAAGATCATGTTAAATAATCAGTAAAATGTACTGATATCATGTGTATTGGAATGACGAATGGTAGCCTTGAACTGCTTTTTCTTTTGTTATAACTGGAACAAATATAAGACTAAATTAGAATCAGAAGCAAGATGCATATTACTTCTTTATCAACCTGCTGATAATTAATTTCAGCATGTGGCACATTTTAAGCGATTTTAAACGGAACAACTGAACCAATATAATTAATTATGTTGTAAACGTTCCCTCTGAATTATCAAGATTATTGTTGCCAGTTTCCTGTGGGTACCTCAGATACATACAGAATGAAAGAGATTAAAATAGCTATCCCTTGTGGTATGCCTAAATAGATACATGGTTATCTCCCTTAGCTGTGACATCACAGCATTGTTCTTTCAACACCTTCACAATTTTTTCTGTATGGTCACGCACAGACGTGTTCAGGGTGGTAAAGAATTTTGTCAAGTTTTATTCTTACAGATTTTTCAAGTGTACGGTCAGTAGAGATCGCATTTGGTCACTAGACAATCGCATTGTGACTTTATTACTTATTGTGAAAAATTTGACTTTTTGGTGAAGCTTAGAATTTTCCCGCCTTTTTTGGACTTAGTTATGTCACAAAATAAATGCGTTCAATGCCAAAAGTTTATGGCTGAATTGGATCCACATTCTCTATGTGCATCATGTTTTGTTGGAGCCCCTTGCACAGTAGAAGATCGCTGTTTGCTATGTTCTGCCTTATCTACTGAAAAATGGATTAATATGAAAAGAGCCTGTAATCAGGCAAGGAAAAGGAAATTGTCAGAAAACTCAGATTCCTCTAGGAGTAAGAAACCTGCCTCTCAGCCTTCTAGTTCAGCAGTTAAGTTAAGTCTTAATCTAAGTCTAGATCAAGTTCATCATCTAGCCAGGTCAATTTGTCAGCTATTACGGAGCTATTATCTTCTTTCAAGTCGGAAAGTCTAGAGTCATTCCCCGTAGGGCGGGGCGGTGCTCTGCTCGGTTTGGTCCAGAATCACCCACGTCCTGAAGCCGGGTAGCCGATCCCCTCGGTGGGAGAAGCTAAGGCTTTGAGCAGGAGGGACATGGTCCCTGGCTGTCAACCCTGAGGGGTCAGCACACAAGCTAGCTTACCTGCCGAGCCGGCTATCGTGTCACACTCGCGCGGTTTGGCATCCCCGGCGTGGCTTGGTCAGGATTCCATTAGCCGGGTTAAGGTGGTCGGCATGGGTCCTAATCAGCCGTTATATAACTTAGATTCGACGGCTCACACACAGCATGGGGTGGCTTGCTCTACGGAGAGTGTGGCGGATGGTGCATGGTCTTCTTCAGTTACGGCTACAGTTAGTCGAGAGTTCATTGATACGGACAATCCTCCAATTATTCCGTTAGTCCTGGTCCTCTCAGAGCATATGGCTTATCCTGCGGCTAACCCAGAACTAGTCATGAGGGAAGGTTTTATTACATTGCCATCTATGGATACGGTCCTTGAATGAAAAAATGGAACTGCTTGATGCTCTTTATCCAAATACATTGCCGCCGCCTACAGGAATTATGGAACAGGAGATACCCATTGAGCTTGGCTCGTCGGGATGTTTACCCCCAAAACGTACTCAGAAGTTATCTTTACCACATTCTTCAGTTGTCAAGGCTACCTTGGATAATTACAATGAGTCTAGTTCGCTACAGTCATTACCTAGGATTCCTAAGACCAGCGTATGCCATCCACAGTCAGGACCTGTCAGTTTGCCTCATTTAGATAAGGACTTCAGCTTACTGGAGGCTAGGAGTCAGAGACCACGTCATACCATGCCTTCCTAGAGACTTCAAGGAACTGGATATTGGACCCCGTTCTTCTATTGACATACTATCATATATAAACTGGTTCACGGCTGGTGTCCGTGCTCTGCTTTTTCTGGTGTTCAAAGATTATCCGGGAATTAAAAAAGACACCTTAGTGGCTATGTCAGTGCACGAGGTTGCATTGGCTCACTCTTTCCTAGATGTGTTATATCAGGGCGTATCGGATGCTACTCAGAGCCAGGTGTATTCGCTGGGCAGACTCACTGCTATGGTGAAGACTCACAAGCTCAACTCGGTTCCGATTTTACCAGAATCTACTAAAGATTTGATGTTCCAACAGCCATTATTTTCACCGGCCAATGTCAACAAGTGGTGGAAGCAAAGGATCCTATTACTTCCAGGAATTTTAAGTAATATAAACAATAGCGGAACGGGACCAGGTCCTTCCCAAGGCCTTAATTAACCAAATGAAGACCTTGGGCAGGCCCTAATCCGTTTCGCTATTGTGTATACTACTACCGGAGGTGCATGCAAAATTTCACGAAAATCGGTCCAATAGTTTAGGAAATATTCACTTTTTAGTGAGCATGGGGTCTGTCTGTCGAAAGGCTAACTATCCAACGTATTGCCGTACTTGTTATAAAGTAGCGAGGCTGAAATTTTTTAGCAAAATGTTCGCTGCGGTCACAACCCCAACGAGGGAGAAAGGAATAGATAGATAGATTGCGATGCGCAAGGCTTCCTCCCTCGTACGATTGCATCCAACTGCGAGCCTCAGATAACCTTACTTGTCGTTTCGGGAAATCTTGAGAGGCCAGACGGGATATTAACTCGCAAATCGCACAGTTGCGCAGCTGCACGAAATCAAGCTGACCCCAGCAGCTTAGCGAACGGAGCCACCACGGCTCCCGTTGGTCTTGGTAATCGATTTTCCTAGTCTATCCTGCAAGCGAGAGAGAGGTCAGAATTGACAGGTCACAGTTCACGGTTCACAGTTCAGAGTTGTTTTCCTAGTCTGGGTTGAGCGAGCATTGTGGGCGAGTCGCAGTGTGTATGTGTGTGTGTGTGTGTGTGTGTGTGTGTGTGTGTGTGTGTGTGTGTGTGTGTGTGTGTGTGTGTGTGTGTGTGTGTGTGTGTGTGTGTGTGTGTGTGTGTGTGTGTGTGTGTGTGTGTGTGTGTGTGTGTGTGTGTGTGTGTGTGTGTGTGTGTGTGTGTGTGTGTGTGTGTGTGTGTGTGTGTGTGTGTGTGTGTGTGTGTGTGTGTGTGAATTCATTTTGCTGACTGCCAGGTCGCTGGCTGTCAACTATGTTATGTTGATGTCCGCCAATTGTGAATCTCCTTCTATGATTTGTTTGGTTTTCGTAAAATAGGCTTGCCAGGCCTGATGATTCCCTTGTTCTATGAAATTCTTTTTCTCGTCTTCTCTGATGACAGTGCTTTCACAAGACTTGGTTCGCATCTCTTGTTTCATTCTGTGGTATTTTGCGATTTCTGATAGCACCAAATGAAACTCTTCCTCAGAGATTTTACAGTCCGTGAGCGCGGTGGAAATATGATCGCCTATTGTGTTTAATTTCGCTTCAGGTAGAATTCTAATTGCGTCGTGTTTCAATGCTTTACGTTGCAGTCTGCGAGATACGAACTTCAGGGCCAATCCTATCAACCCTGCCACTCCAGCTGTTATTTTGATGCCTAGCACCACGGGTGCGACCACTTTGGTGGATAACAATCTGTCACCTGTCGCTACTAATCCCATGCTGGTTGCCATCAGGGCGGTGTCGACACCGTCCATGGACAGCCCTATGATATTTTTTCTGTAATGCTGATCATGTATCGCATTCACGTTCTAGTTGTTGTTTGATGACTCATAACTGTTGCAAAGGAAACCTGTTAACGGTATCCAGTGTTTTTGCTACTTCATCCACGACTGGGTACAGTCCCATCCTATATGTATATTTTCTTATAAAATAATATTTAATTGGTTTTCCGTCAATCATCGATAGATGTACTTGAGGCTGATATGGTTTAGATTATCGTAAAAGTAAATAGCCCAGATCTGAATAGGTCCTGTTTCAATAACACGAACCCAATCGAGGCTTGCTAAGGGTATCGATCCCAGCCGTATGATGATACGGCAACGTTGGTGTATGTGTCTGTCGTCCCAGCTGATGGACAGTCCATCCAAAGAATGTCGTTCTGACGACCCATGAGAGTCTGCAAGATAGAATTCTATGACGAGCGTGGTGTGTAATTTGATATGAATCGAAAAATACTATTTGAATCGAAAAAATACTGTTGGTAATCGGGTATGTCCGCCGCTAAAGATGCATCCGAGTTGACTGGAGCTAACATGTTGCCCGTGTGATCCAGTATTCGTAAAACTTGTACGGTATCGTCTATTGTCGGGGGAAAGGACATGAGAATTACTGTAAACGTATTATATTTCGCGCAGGTTTTATTTTCGCGCAAAACATTTTAGCGCGAAAATTTATACACCGCGAATAAACCTGTCATTTATTCAGTCTAGCCACGCTCGCCCCTGAGTTGTTACCATAACACATCAAGATTGAAGACAGAAATCTACGGGAATCTTAAAATGACGACTGATAGTAGCATAAAGAATCATACTTAACTGTCGCTGTAATGGATTTCCCAAAACATAATTAAATAATGAGCCAAATCCCATCGCCGAATTAGCGAAAACAGCAATGTGTGTTGTGGCTGCCATGGAAATTGGTCACATGACAGATGGTTTGATACAAAACAGATTACCATGAAACGACTCGGAAAGAAATAAGTATCCTGTCGCTTTACACTACAGACACGCGACTGTTTTTTTTTAATGAATACGAGGGGCGAGGTGAGGGTGATGTCGATCAACCAGTCAGGCTCTTTGAAATCTGCCAGTGACACTCGTCCGTACACATTGTTTTGTAAGTGCATGGCGTACAGGGTGTTTTCCTCACCAGGCAGATCAAATCCCCGTGTGTCCCCGAGATTGGCTAGCATTTCGTTGGGATGGTTTATACAAATTACGAATTGGTTTTCAATTGG